ATGGACCGGGCGCTCTCCCGCAACGAGTACATCCACGGGTGCGGCGACAACATCGCGAACGCCAAGCGCAAGGCGTTGGAGGCCAGGTCGCCCGAGATCAAGGCCATCAACGCCCGCATGCCGTCGCTCCAGGTTCCAACAATGGACGCGGTGGTGCGCCTGTTCAAGTACCGGTGGGGCCACGCCATGGCTCTGCGCAACTTCTACCTCGTTCCCATCCAAGCACGCATCAAGCGTCGGAACGAGGTGCAGCGGAAGCAATCCCAGGAGAAGTTTGTGCGGAGCCTTGCGCCAGAGTGCCGCACGCCATGCGAGCGGGCGGGCGTGATCGTGATCACGGGCGACTCGCAATCAAGAAGGCGATCAAGGGCCTTCTCGACGCGCTCAGCGTTTTCCGGGACCACCATCGCAAGCAGTGGGCGGCCTTGGTCGATGAGTGCGAGGAGGGCGAGCGGCCGCTCAATGTTCGCAGGCACGAGACCGAGGCGGACATGGAGTGGTGCCGTTTCTTCCCTCGCTGGTGGGCTTCGCGGATGGAGCGGGCGGTGGCGGACGATACGTGTTCGTCCGGGACGGCTGCCGCGCGGGACCAACTCTGGGACATGTGCGGGGCGGCCTTGTGTGAGAGGGAGCCGTCGGCGCTGTTGGTTTCGTTTGGTTTCGTTTGGCGGAGGCGGCCGAGGCGGCCGAGGCCTCTGCGCCAGTGACGGCTGTGGTGGGGGTATAGCTTTTCCTCTTTTTTCTTCTCCTTCGTCTCTCCTCTCCCACTCTCGATTCGTCTTTCCTTTTGGCAAACCTATACAGCTGTTGTACAGGATCAAGATCACGTTGTTTCAGCTCTTCCCATTTCCTTGGATTTCCGGATTGGTTGTGAAGAAAAAAATTCAAGAATTTTTTTTACAATGCTGGCGACAGTAACAAACAGAACGCGAGCAGGTCAACGGCCCTTGGCCTTGGTCGCGATTCTCCGCCGGTACAATGTGCTCGCGCCATTTCGACGCGCTCTATCTCGAGCTATGCCCACTCCCGCCGCCGCGGCCGTCGATTTCCAATACAATGCGGTTCGATTATCCACGTTGTATACCGAGCAAGTATAAAATCTCACACCAACGCTTCGGGAACCACCAGGCCGCCGTCGAGACCGCTTGGCAATCGCACTGGGCCAATGCTCCTCCACGCGACGCGTCTGCATCCAATCAGAGCCAAGACTTTGTGATGATTCTCCCGCCGCCCAATGTGACGGGCAACTTGCACTGCGGCCACGCTCTCACCGTCGCCATTCAAGACTCGCTGGTCCGGTGGCACGCGCTCCATGGTCGCTCTGTGCGCTGGATCCCTGGAACTGATCACGCTGGAATCGCTACTCAGTCGGTGGTGGAGCGCCAGCTCGCCAAGCAAGGCAAGGTCTGCCCTTTCTTGCTTGCCAAGAATCGGCACAGAATACTCACACTCACACATATATAGCCCTCGCGACACGACCTCGGCCGTGACGCATTCCTCCAACACGTCTGGGACTGGAAGAACCAACATTGCGGCCACATTTCCTCGCAGCTCACGTCGCTCGGCGCTTCCTTGTCATGGCCCGACGAATACTTTACCCTGGACGACGCGCGATCGCGGGTCGTGCGCGACGCGTTTGTTGCGCTCCACCAGCGCGGGCTTGTTTACCGCGCAACACGTATGGTCCACTGGTGTCCCACATTGGCCACCGCCATTTCCGACATGGAGGTCGATTATCGCACCTTGGATGGGCCTACCGAGATTACTGTACCTGTTGGATCTTCAAAGACGACTATTACTGCTGGCGTCATGCACACGTTCGACTACCCGCTCGCCGACGATTCTGGTCGCTGCATCTCGGTCGCAACCACGCGCATTGAAACCATGTTGGGCGACACGGCGGTGGCTGTGCACCCTGCTGACGCTCGCTACGCGCACCTGGTTGGGCAAACGCTTCTCCACCCACTCATTCCTGGCCGCCGGATCCCCATCATCGCCGATGAATACGTTGACCCAGAGCTGGGGACGGGTGCAGTGAAAATTACGCCCGCGCACGACCCGGACGACCATGCCATGGGCCAACGCCACGCCCTCCCGTCGATTGATTTGCTGGATGTGAATGGCCGCCTCCTGAGCTCATGTGGTGTGCCTGACCTGGTTGGTGCGGTTCGGTGGACTGCCCGTGCCCATGTGATTGCTGCACTCACGGCACAAGGTCTCTATCGCGGAACGCAGCCGCACGCCATGCGACTTGGGTTTTGCTCGCGCTCGGGGGATATTGTGGAGCCCCGCTTCGTGCCCCAATGGTTTGTGCGTGCGCAACCCCTGGCTGATCTTGTTCGAACGCGCCTGGACCGTGGAGAGGTGGTGGTGAAGGGCACGCATGGGGACTCGGAGGGGCACGAGCGCGAGTTGCGCATCTGGCTCGATGGTATGCATGATTGGTGCGTCTCGCGCCAACTTTGGTGGGGCCATCGAATCCCCGCGTACAAGAAGGTGGACTCGGAGAGCTCCCAGACTGATGCTGATAGCTGGGTGGTGGCGGCCGCGTCGCCGGGGAAAGAATGGATCCAAGACGAGGATGTCCTTGATACGTGGTTCTCCAGCGCCCTTCTCCCACTGTCCGCGACGAACCCGAACGTTGACCTTGCCCACCCGCGCGACTTGGTATGGTTTCTATTTACTACCACATTTTGATGATGGTGGCTCAATGCGAGATATCAAATAGGTCAATTACCCAACCTCCATGATCGAAACCGGCAGCGACATTCTCTTTTTCTGGGTGGCGCGAATGCTCATGTTGTGCACGGCCCTGACGGATCAAGTCCCATTCAAGACGGTCTTGCTTCATGGGATGGTTCGAGATGCACAAGGGCGGAAAATGTCCAAGTCGCTGGGCAATGTGATCGATCCCCTTCATGTCATCCATGGCCGCTCGCTGGAGGACATGCTCTCCGACCTCGCCACTGGAAATTTACCCGCACAGGAAGTCGATCGGTGCGTCCATTTACTTTATTTTTGGATTCGATCCTCATGGCTCAACTTTTTTATCCTATAGGTCTGCCGCGCTGCTCAAGAAACAGTTTCCCAACGGCCTCCCTGCATGTGGCGCTGATGCCCTGCGGTTGACTCTGCTTGAGCATTCTTCTGTGCGATTTCCATTCTTCGTTTTCGTTTTACATTACCTGGCACTCACATACTCATTCATTAGTCTCGCCAAATTAACCTGGATGTCACCAAAGTCGTGACCAACCACCATTTCGCCAACAAGTTGACCAACGTTGCCAAGTTCATGAGCATGCACATTTCTCCATCGACGCTGCCTGCTGATGCCCCACCTGAGCCCAACACGGACGCCGCCGCCTCGACTTCCATAGCCGATACATGGCTCTTGGCACGCCTCTCTGCTGCATTACGTGACTGGTCGGCGGGATACGCGGCTGGCACCCCTGGCCGCTCGGTACAGGTCAGCATGGCGTTCCTGCTGGACGACGTCTCTGACAAGTACATCGAGTACGTCAAGCGCCTCCCTCCGGGCCCATTGACGTGGCAGCCAGCTACCGCGGCCACGGCCCTGCACGCGGCTTTGGTGATGTTGTACCCGGCCATGCCCCATATCACAAGCGAGCTCGCGCTCCGATTTTTGGCCGATGGCGACATGGACCGCGCCGCGCAGCTGATGTCGGTGGCACAGCTTCCGCAGCCGCAGCAGCAGGGCGGCTCGCAGGACACCGTTGCTGTGGTCAATACCTTTGACGAGTTGTGGGCGGTTGTGGCCGCATTGCGCAAGGCGCCTCGGGCCGCTTTCTTGCCCGGCAAGCCATGGACGCTGGAATGCGCGCACGATGGAACACGCGTGGCACTGCAGCAAGTGGCGGGGACCATTGTGCAGCTCTCTCGGCTTCCCAAGGGCACTGTTTTGCAGGTCGTTTCACAGTTGCCATCTGATGTCGATGCGGGGACCAAAGTCGTGATCCAGACTGGTCTTGTCGTTCATATGCCGCCGCTGGATCCTGGCAAAGACGGGAAGCAGGGTGGTGCAAACCGCGCTGCTGTGGAGAAACAGGTCCAGCGACTCTTGGGTGACATTGAGCGGTTGGAGCAAATGGCAGCCGATCCTAGCTATGAGGTGTCCGTCCCACCTGCAGTGCGCGAGCGAAATGAGCGCAAGCTGGCAACGTTCCGCGCCCGTCTCAGGGCGCTGCAAGAGCAGTGAAAACTAAGTCTTAAGGGCAATATATGTATTTTCTGGCAACATGTCAATGAGAAAAAAAAACACCTGTAAACTCCCAATGGTGCTGGTGACTGCGTGGTTGCTCGTTGATGCAATGCCATGCGATGTTCATGAACTCGCCAGAGTAAAAAAAAATTTCCTTGTTGCACAAAACAACTCCAAAACATCATCAGACCTGAACCATCAATAGTAAAGCAAATCTAACCAATTGGCGACGTGATTTGAAGGGACTGTTCTGTCTAAAGCCGCCAGTTTGTTGGAAGTCAGCTCGAGCAAGTCGTCAAGCTCTTTCTGCATGAATGCGCTGTTGTTTGCTTGCAGGTGATCGTGAGGGGTGTAGAGGACCTGCAAGACAAGGGGGCAAGTCGTTCCCGAGACTTTCCACTATGAAGGAGGCAGCAATCAGGCCCTGTTTACAATCCCAAGAGCAATTCTGTTCGGTATGGGTGGTCCTAGGCCATATTCCTACCATTGATTTCACTTAAAAATTTGGTCCCTTGAGCAATCATGCGAGCTGAATGCTCCGCTTAACAGAATTCATGTCGCTTACGCATAGTTTTTTTAAATGTGCAGCAGGAATACAAGCAGGACTTCAAGTTTAACCACCAACATGAGTTTCAACGATGAAAGAGGGCTGGAAAGAACGGCGAACCCCAATTTGCCTAAATTAAATACTTCAATCAGTACGATAGTTGCAAACGAGAAAAAAAAGGTCGGAAACGAGGAGTGAGTTCGAGCAAAATGAAGAGAAAATAAACTCCAAAAATGCTTGCGGCAGGGTTCGAACCTGCGCCTCCGAAGAGATGCGAACTTGAGTCGCACGTGTTAGACCACTCCACCACACAAGCACGGTTCTGTCCCAACAATCTATGCTTTGATCAGCAGCATCATGCACTGTAACGTGAGAC